ATATGGCATTTGTACGTACTCCAGGTACTTAGACAGAGTATTATGACATTTAACTTAGTATTAGAAATTAATTTTTGTACATGTATTATTACATTTTTTATACCATCCGAAAAGTGTTACTATTCTAATACTGTAAAGAAGCATATAGTTTTATCATTAGTATGGAAATATTTATAAAGCATTTTTCAATTAAAAATGTATTTTTTAAGGTTTACTCCTTGGTTTCTTTACATAATTATGTATCTTAAATATTATTATTAAATGATAATCTTAAACATTATTATAGCACAGTCAATGATGTTATATGTATGCTGATTGTGATAGCCTGTTTTTTGTGCACCAAGGAGATGTGATGTTATGGATGGTCTGATTATATCCAATTTGCTATGAATTGACTAAATATCCGATTTGTCACCACTCACCACCATATCCAAAACATATCCTATCCTCACTGTACCTCTTTATGCTTAACCTATTAAATACATATCTTAGGTGTGTAATTCAAATCATGTCATAAGTCTCTGTTACATTGAGAAGAGCCTAGGCTGATTGATTCCCTTACTTATCGTCATTTTTACGTATTTAGACCGACCATTCATGTTTTTGCTTACTTTTTACCTTTGCTTACCTTTTTGCACTTATGCTTCTGAGTTATTCAAGCTCGTTTTCCTGTTATCTTTATGTACTTATTTGAAGTACTGATATTGTTGCACAGAATATGTTTTGGGCTGCAGAGCAAGAGTTTACTTTCCCGGATAAAAAGGAAGCTAATTTTACTTATCACTTAACTAAAAAGCTCGGATGAAACCAATATCTTACTTTTTATCTTTCAATATAGATTTTCGTTTTGTCCTTTTATACTTAAAGATATTATAAATCCCTCTTGCAGTATTTTTCATACCATCAATAAACTCTTTAGTCAAGCTGTCTTGTTGATTTAAGACAGGTTTTTGTTTGCTTAGTAACGCAGCTCTTAGCTGGTTTATTATTTAATTAATTAATTTAAGGAATCCGTTTTCCATTTCTTGTTATGAGTATAAAAGCAACATTTCTCAGTTTTTGCTATTTTCTTTCTACACCTTTCGGAATCCTAATTCAGCACACGTTTAACATGTTGCTTATGCGTCTTTTAATTCCCCACTTCCACACAAAAGCAAATGAAACAAATATTTGGGTATCACATCCATGGGCAGCACGACATATTTATATCTAATAATTCGGAAACTAAGTACCGTTTTGGAAAAAAAAAATAGTAAAACAAATTTTTCGAATCCAATTTTATTTTTACATGAAAAATACATGTCTTAAACTATTTTTCAACATAGTTTCCGCCAATGATCAAACACTTGTCATAGCGGGTGACCAGTTTTTGTATACCATCGTCAAAGAAACTTCCCACCAGTTTTGATAACCACGACTCCACAGCATTTTTCGTGTCATCGTCAGATCCAAAGCGCTTGCCACCAAGCTCGCGCTTCATGCGCAGGAACAAGTGATAGTCGGACGGCGACAAGTCTGAGCTGCACGGCGGGTGATCGAACTGCTCCCAATGAAACTGTCGAATTAACGATTGAGTGACACCAGCAGTATGGGGCTGAGCATTGTCATGGAGCAACACAATTCCTTTACTGAGCATTCCTCTTCGTTTGTTTTGAATGACACGCCTTAGTTTTGTTAAAGTCTCACAATATCGTGCCGCATTAATCGTTTCACCTCTGGGAAGAAATTCAGTAAGCAAAACGCCTTTCCTATCCCAGAAGACAGTGCACATGATTTTTTGTGATGACATTGTCACTTTGAACTTTTGTTTTTTCGGAGAATGAGTGTGTCTCCACTCCATCGATTGTTGTTTCGATTCTGGTGTGAAATGACACACCCAAGTTTCATCACCTGTAACAATTCGGTTTAAAAAGTTTTCTCCCTCATCACTGTATCGCGTGAGAAGTGTCAGGGCACTACCAAGTCGCTTTGTTTTGTGAACATCAGTGAGCATTGTTGGAACCCATCGGGAACACAGTTTGCGATAATTCAAGCGGTCAGACACAATTTCGAACAAAACAGTACGTGAAATTTGTGGAAATGCCTCTGAAAGAGTTGTCATTGTAAAGCGTCTGTTCTCATGAATTGCTTCATCAACTTTCCTTACCAAATCATCGGTGACAACAGAAGGCCGACCACTCCGAGCCTCAGCGTGGACATTTGTTCGACCTGCATTAAACATTCTTACCCACTTTCTCACCATTCTATCACTTATCGCATATTCACCGTAAACTTCTGTCACTTGACGATAAATTTCGACCGGTTTAACATTCCTCGTGTTCAAAAATTTAATCACGGCACGAATCTCACAGTTAGCGGGAGAACTAATTGTCTTAAACATTTTGAATGTGCACAGCAAACTGAAAACACAACATAGAGCAACCAAAATGGCGACAATTTAAAGTCAGTGAAAACGAAAGACTAGTTCGCATGCGCGGGACGCCTACCACAGCGCTGCGACGGCGCTAGAATGAAACGGTACTTAGTTTCCGAATACGCTAGGTATATAGTAACTTCTTGATAAAGAGCTCCTGAAATCCGCTGTGGTTAGTAGTTCGTTAATTTAAGATTGGGTCTTTCTTTTCACTCTTTTATTGCTGGATGAAATGTATTTCTTGTTCAGCTATGAATATCGCATCTCTAAAGGAACGCTAAGAAAAGATGTGTGTTTGAATTTGCTCAAGAATCAAGAATCAAGGATTCTGGCTAGAGAATGCAACAACCTGCATAAAAGAAATATAAAACAGAGTACATACTTTCTGAAAGTTAAAAATGAATTTAGTCAAGTGACATACTTCATTAAAAATCTACGAAACATAAATTCTTGAATGGCTGTTTTTTGAAAACGTTACTTACTTTGGGATGACGTGCAAAATTGGCACTGAAAAAAAAAAAAGTCTTATTGCGACCTAAATAGCTTTTATGCGAAATGACTATCAGTTTAAGACTTATGTTAAACACATTTCTTTAAATATGAAATTTAGGATTTTAAGGTAGTTCTAGAAACAATAATTTAAAAACACGAAAGCTTATAAATTAGTATTTACTTGCATATAAGCTATCTTTTTAAAGTATAAATTCAGAAAATTAATAAACTTTTAGGAATTTCGGTTTACTTTTCCTCAAAATTTACATATATGATGACTAGAATATGTCTGATCCCATAGTAAAAATTTACATTTTCTGTAACTAACGTGTCTACGGAAACTTTTGTGGGGGTGGGTCTACAAAAACTGTTTTTCTTATTCGTTTTTCTTTATTAGATCTATTTCTTAAATTGGACCACGGATATACAAGCAAACGTCCAAGAGTGAACAATGATGTGGTTGAACAATGTTTAACCACATTAGGTATATGTAATAAATACAAACGATGATGGTACTCAAGAATGTTGATATTCAAGAAGCGTTTAATGCGTTTAAGAATTTTTTAGTACTCATGCAACATGTCTTTTCATTATTTATATGAAGAAGCGAAAATTGAAATTTATTTGCTTTTGCAATTTTTATACTCTTATATTATATGAGCCCTGGTGTTAAGCGAGCGAAATCTCAGACTTTAGAATTAACTAAACGATTTAAAGAAAATTTTCAATGATTTCTTATCGAATCATGTGCTGATTATAGGATTATAGGTTTATTTGGTTCAGTAAAAAGCTGTTTCTATAGCGTTTCTTTCTTAATATTTATAACACATGAAAGCTTGTTTTACTTAAAACTGTATGAAAACGAAATATTTGTAACTCATTTTTCAAGTGACAAATTTCTTCAAATGTTTTATTGTGTTTAAAATGCTTATTCAGGCAATTGAAATGTTTCCTTCAAATAAATGATCAAATAAATGATAAATTTTGCGGCGTTATGGAAACCAGTTCGCTGGGAAAAGTGATTTATTTATTGTATTGAAATATCTTGCTTTAAAAACATCCTTTTTTTCTTTCACTGGTTGATAATTGACTAAATGAAATTTTCGCATGAAGTTTAGAAACTAATTTCAGCATTTAAAATTTCCATTTTATCAATCGAAATTCATTAAATTAACTACACACATTTCGAAGGCTAACATTATTTAAAAACAACAAATCAATAATTCTTAAAATAAATATTTCAGTATTTCCGTGTTTAAATACATTTCAGTTCTTCAGTTTAAGTATAATCCATTTAATGTTTCACGTAGCATGTGAATGTATTATATTTTGAATTTCAAATATTTTATATCCGTCCATTTAGCGTTAAATTCATCATTTTCAAATCACTACCACTATTTGCTTTCCAGATGAGTTTATTTTTGCTATCATTTACCGAAAAGATTTCCGTTTTACATTTTCTTCTTACAGTAAAGAGATCACCGATAACAAAATTCATGTAATTGGAAAAAGATTTATGTTTATTTACGCAGACTTCATCGACGCTCTCGTACTGCATTCAATAAATGATATATTTATTCGTCTGTGTCCATTATCCCTGGCATTTGTTTCCTCCATATGTTATACTGTTTTTATCTCTATTAAACCTGGGATATAGTAAAGATAAAATTTATTTGATGCATAGAAATTCCCTGGCGCCATAACAAACAGGCGACTGGCGCTTAATGAGTATCGCAAGAGCCAAATTGCCTAGAGTTGTAAAATATAAAAGCAAACCATTTTGCTTTTAGCGGCAATTTTCAGGGTATATTAAATTAAATGCTGTATAAATAAGCAGTTGCTTTTCGGTAATTCTTATTCGCTTTTAAAGGAAGTAGGATTTGCATCTTTAAATCGTAAACTTGATGATGTAGCTTTCCGTTTAGTACATCTACCAGACTTTATTTTTTTCATCATTTCCGTGTACCTCAAAACTACGATTCTTATATATTTGCCTTAAAACACGTGAATTCTGGATTTGTTTACCACTTATGTAAAGCTAAATAAAGCGAAGATGACTTTTGTCATCTTACATTTAATTCATATCAGTACTTACCCACAATGGATACATAAGTTGATCCTGATGCTGTTAGACCATCAGGACTTCTAACTACGCATGTGTACTTTCCTTCATCTGCTGCTTTCTGCACATCATGAATAGTTAAGCTACCTGCAGAATTAAGTTTATGTCTGTGATCGAGCGGAAGAATGATTCCTCCTGCAAAGAAATATAGAAATTCAATTTTCTATGTGAAATCGTTAAGTTGTTTGTTTTGCGATTCTTTTTGTATGATCAAATAACATACGTCATCACCAAGAACTTCTGGAATAACCTTACTCTTGGTTTAACATGTTCGTGGCTGCCAGTTCTTATGGAAATTATGCGTCATCCTGTGAATATACCAGCGGCTTGTTGTAGGGCGTTTTTTTCATTTACTAAAGGTTTTATTAAGTTAGAAAATTTGCCCTCGCAAGTACCGGATTTCTTAAGACTATTGAACACTGGTAGTTCGAACAAGGTTTCCATCTAAGTAAAACGGGCTCGCTGCATGGGATTTTTCTCATAGTGCTTTTCATGAATACAAACAAGTTTCCTTAAAAAGGCCTCCTTTCCCTTAGATAGCTCTCGCGTTCTTTGCCTTACAGCCTAATTAGCCATGACGAAAAGTGATATTTCTTTACATTAGTATGACATATAAGCACATTTTACGGGGTTTTGTGATTGTGGTGGTAATTAATATTTTGTTTCTGATTGTGATAATAACTCATCTTTTGCAATTTATAATGTACGTATATCTTAAAATTAGTTTAGGGATCTTATCAAGAGGTAGAATAATCCTATAAAAATTAAATCTAAAATTTGAAATATGTCGTCTAATATATCTTCGCTTTCGCTTGGAAAGGTGGCATATTCAGCCATTAATTTTGGAAAAATTCCTTAACTTATGAGGAATTTTATTAAACCTTTCTTAAATGTTTCATTTCTTTCTGGCAAACTATAATTTCGAAACGTTTCAAAGTCCAACTGAAGTAAATTATATTAAATTTTCTTCAATCCTAATGCATTTCATAAAGAATATAGGATCGTACTCGAAATTTTCACAGAATAAAAGCTTTTCTTTCCTTATTTAGTTATTCGTAACCTATTTTCAAAACATTTATGTCAGTTGGTATTTGCATTTGTATTTGGTTTAATGCAGAACACTTAAAAGATTACATAGATACACAATAGCGTACAAAGTTAAGCGAACTGGTACATTATACTGAATTTCTGAAAAACTAATGAACAAAATTTATAACAGAGAAAGAGGTGCACTATTTGAAAGCCATTTTGTGTACACATTCTCATAGTGCTGCGATATCGAACTGAAAATGAAAGTAATATGAAGTATGGTTCCCATCCCCCCCCGACAAGGTCTCACAGAGAGAGCGCATGCTGAACAGGAGACAGTTGAGAAGTCCCTATCGCAATCGATCCCACTTCTACAGCACTGCACATTTTAACTTCAGGATGGTACTCGGAGAAGGATGGCGATATGAACATGTCTTCCCAAGAGCGTCCCATACATGTTATATAAGGCTGTTATATAAGGCTAGATTCAAGTTTAGAAGATATGGCTGGCTAATACATGCGGCAAATATTCTCTTATCTAGATAATCGTCGACTAGCTGAGGTCTTTGAAGACCAGCGTTGTTTTCCATTAACCGAAACCTAGGACCAACTGTGCTTTTGAAAATTCGAACACAGGGCTCTAAGATCTCTCTAAACCTTATAGCAGTTTGAGAGCTTTGTCAAAGACATGCACGGGTGTGCGGCCATCCAACAAAATACTTAAAAAAAAAAAAAAAAAAAAAAAAAAAAAAAACAAAAAAAAAAAAAAAAAAAAAAACAAAAAAAAAAAAAAAAAAAAAAAAAAAAAAAAAAAAAAAAAAAAAAAAAAAAAACAAAAAAAAAGAAAAAAAAAAAAAAAAAAAAAAAAAAACCCCACAACCATTACACATCTACCACCGTAATGATCCTTCTTAAGTCTTAAACTTAAATTAAGTCTTAACTCCTGATTTATTTATTTAACTTTCTCTCTTTCTGGTGCCAGGCAAAAGAAAAAAAAAACTCTCATAGAGAATCTCTAGAGATTAGTGATTGTAAAACTAATATTTTAAGTTAACTAAATCATATAAATAATAAAAAATTTTAAAATAAACGATACCCTTTAAAATTTCAAACGCTTTAAGTCAATACTGAAAAGAGATTATATCCTGCCTGGTGTTTTGGTGTAAAAAGTCAAATGATAATTTATCCAAACAAAATGCAAAATGTGAAAATGCATTTCAGTATCCAATTCATCAAAATGCTGTCTCTCCTAAAATAAAACGAAATCCACTGAATTTCCTAAAAATACATAAATTTCAGTACAACTATTAAACTCTTCAAAAAGTCACTAACTCTTTTCATTTAAATATAAACACTGAACACCTCAAAGTACCAAGGAAAGCTATATCCACACAAGTAAGAATCAGGGCACCAATTAATTTAAATAATAACCCGATCGTATATTTTTTTTTAATGAATTTAGTTCGCAACTACACCTCCTTAAAGCATTACTACACAGATTTTAATTGAAAACAAATAAACATGTTTTCCGTAAGGATCACATGAGTAGCCTGCAGTAGACCACCACCAGATAAAATCTCAAATAAATCATACAATATTAAATTATTAAATACATTTATTAAATTTTCTATAATATTATAAATCTGGATAGCCTGCGAGACTATCCCTAGAAAAACATTATCTAAAACTTACTCACAATTTTACATTTGACATTCAAAACTATTAGCAATATTCTGCCCAAATTACCACAATTATACAATTGTCACTGAACACTAAAACTTCTGAAGTTTCTGATTTTTAATATTATTGAAATCTCTCCAAAAACATAATGAACACCTTATGAGTATTATTTGCACCTTACAATTATCTTTTAAATAGTTACACATGAATTAAAACTCACATCTAAACCTAAATTAGAGGAGCAAATAAATTTCCCTCACCAGTAAAATAGCAATAGTTTCCTCTTCTGACATTTAGCAATTAATCAAATTGATTAATATAATACTCAAAACACATTAAATCAATGGAAATTTCTTTTAAGAAACATTGGTATTTCCCCCCCTCTGTTAATTTAAGTAATGACTCATGTCAATTAAACATTAAAAAAATTCACTTTCTCAATTATTAATTAAGTGATAAGTAACGAAAAAAAAAAAAAAAAAAAAAAAAAAAAAAAAACGTAAAAATCCACATCTGTCTGAGGGCTTCGGGGGGAGCTGCCTGACAAATTCTTGACATACGTCGAATGCTGTAAACGAACGAAATCCTCATCATTCAAAAGCTAAAGTATGATGACTGCCCAATGCATTCACGGCTGGATATTTCATCGTTGTCGAAAGAAAAATCTGATGACTCCCTCCAATAAATCAACTTGTTTTCATAAATCTCGCAGAAGCAATTTTACCAATCTGCCTTCCTTATTCTCTATATCAGCAAGTCCAGTCGTTTTGATGGATGTCAGAAACTTCGATCATTACGCCAACTAAGACCCACTGATTTAGGAATCAACTGCAAATATCAGATCAATGACAATGCTTCCGATGAAGACAGCCAACGACCAAAGCTATTATCAGCTTTCAACTGATATCTGGAGGCGAAGCCCAACAATCCTGAGTTACATTGCTGGCAATTAAAAATGCAACACCATGAATGAAAGCAAATACAAAAAAGATATTTATTGTATATAAATATAATGACATAAAGACAAAATAATTAAATTTTTAAGGTGGTTTATAGGGGTGCGAAATTAGTAGAATCTGATGCCTTACCTGGCAGCTATAACGGTCCTTAACCGGCTAGGCATGGCGTCGAACTGGTCTTAGATGGCAGAAATGGGTAACTCATTCCATGCTGCTTCAAGTCTATGGCACACTTCATCAACCGTATTAGCTGAAGAGGGGTGGCAGGCCAATCTCTCATCAATCAGCAACCAGATGTTTTTAGTGGATTACAGATCTGGAGACCGTGCAGTCCGAGTCAGAAATTGAATACCCTGTGTATCGAGGAAGGTCAGAACACGACATGCAACATATAATTTCGCATTATCTTGTTGGAAGATGGCGTTTGGCAGGCATCGAAGATAGGGCAGAACCCCTGGGCCTACGATGTGAGACATGTACCGATCTGCATTCAAATTACGGTCGATCCGAACTAGAAATGCACGTGTCGTGTACCCAATGGCTGCCTGGCTATTGAATTTGGATGAAAACTTTAGTGACACTGAGTTTGAAAGTATTCTACACGAATCCCAGGTTAATAAAGAACAGGACTTTACATACACTGAAATTGATATTGTTATTGCCTCTTTTCGTGAAAAAATCGCCCCTGGGCCGGACGGGATCGGGGTTACTATTGTTAAGACATTATATTCATCCTGCCCTTTCCTATTGCTATTTCTTTACAATAAATGTCTAAATCTGAATATATTTCCTAAGGCATGGAATACTGGAGAGCTGATTCTTATACCAAAAACAAATGATAAATTTAGACAACCGATATGTTTACTGAATATTATGGGTAAGTTACTTGAAAAACTGATAACTAATAGACTTCAGTTTGTTATTTATAGCAAAAATTATATCTCAGACTCTCAATATGGCTTTCGTAAGGGCAGAAGTGCAGATCTTGCGCTTTATAAAGTAGTTGAAGAAATAAGATGTAAACGAACACTTTATCATGTGGCCCTGGTCTCGTTTGATGTCCAGGGTGCATTTGACACAGTAAAATGGTCTTCTGTTTTGTACACATTAAAGAAACTTGATGTTTCAAGTCAAATGTTTGACACAGTCAAGGATTACTTCAGAGACAGGTATTTGGTCTACAAGGGAGAACTTGGAGAATTCAACATTAAATATGCCATGAATAAAGGTTGTCCCCAGGGCTCCTGTAGCGCTCCCCTGTTCTGGGGTCTTATTGTAAATAATTTGCTCAAGGATGTAAATATACCTAATATTTCCACTTATTGTTACGCAGACGACTTATTATTTTTAATCTATGATGTTTCTTTGGATAAAATTGAGTCCCATTTCAGGAAATTGGGTTGCGTTCCTAAATAGTTGGACTAAAGAAGAAAATATTTTATTTAACATGGATAAAACTTGTGGAAT